TATCCTGGAATTCCCTTTGTAGACCAGACTGGCCTCAAAGTTACAGAGATCTACCTACCTCTGCCTCCCAAGTGCTGGGATTAAAGGCATGTGCCGCCGCCACCTGGCTCAAATCTAAACTTTTATATATTAAAAAAAAGCATCAGTCGGCTCTATTTTAAATCCTCAGGGTGCACACCCATTCATCAACAGTTTTTTATATCAGGAAGCTGAGGGCAGAAATGGGTACAAGGAATTAATCATCACCCTTGATCACAACCCCTCCTAGCAAGAAAGCTACTTCAGCCAACAATAGCCAGACTGTCATTATTCTTGTTCCCTGACCTGAACGAGTACCTCACTCAGCTATTAAAAATATTCCTTTAAATTGTTTTTCAAGGTTTTTTTTTTAACCTCAAAGCCATTAACAAAAACATTTTAACCTAACCTTAGTCATTATTTAAAGCTTTGTTTCATCTATGAAACACACTGAAACCCATGAATACATCTCTCAACATTAAAAGAACTTAAGCTAATTTAGCTTCTGGGACTCAGTTGTTTTTCTCAATCAGCCACAGTTTATATGGCTCCTCAAGAGAATCTAGCTGTGTGACATTTCCTTGTTCTATTTTTCTATCCTCTGTAGCCATGTTTCATCAGGGGCAGGGGGCAATACTTAAAACAATTCAGCTTCGGAGGAACTCATCTTTAAAATAATCCACAGGTAAAAATGCCCAGTAGAATGGGATATTTGCACGAGAGACTCACACCACATTAAAGGCAGTGGAGATCCCCCCACACCCATTCACACCATGCCAGATACCAGAGAAAAATGGCAGTGGCAAACATGTAAAGACAAATGCAGTAGCAAGAGACATTCTGAGGCCAAAGCCTTCAGGGCCTTGCCTATCCAAGATTCACCTATCTGAGTTTTGAATGCTGGTGGGTTGATCCCCTGAAGTCAATAGCCACCTGCTGCTTCTCTGACATTGCCACCAGCCACAAAGGAGACAAAAAGAAGGGTATGATAGGCACTAGGATGCAGTGTATGGTCTATAGGCAAATGGCAGCACAGTCACCAGAGTTTTGGTCAAGGGCATTTTCTCTTTGGGGGATCAATATGTTAGAGCATGTAAGAAGTAATAGGGCCCCAGGTATAATGGTGTTTGCTTGTAATTGTCGCACTCAGGAAGTGGGGACAGGAAGACCAGGAGTTTAAGGTCACCCTTAGCCACATAGAGAGTTCAAGGCTAGCCTGGGGTAGGACTGAAACCTGACTGATTTGTGAAATCAGGTTTAGGAAGAGGCATTTGCATACCCATGTTGACAGCAATATTATCCATGGTAATAGCAAAGAGGTGGAAGCAGCCCATATGTCCATCGACAGATGAGTAGATTTATCAATTGTGTGTGTGTGATTATACAACAATACAAGTTGGGAAAAGAATATAATAGCTAGAGAGAGAGACAGACAGACAGATAGACAAAGAGAAACAGAAATTATTTGTGATCATTATTGTCATACCATATGGCAAGGAAATCTTGTCATGTAAGACAAGGTGAATAAACCTTGAGGACATAACATTAAGTAAAACAAGCTACCCACAGAAAGGCCAGTATATCTAAAGTGTCAAATTCATAGAAACTAATAGTAGAATGGTGGTTCCAGGGGTGAGAGAAATGGAAGAGAGTTTGTTGTTTAATGGGTACAGAGATTCGTGACACATACAAACAGCTCTGAGATCTGTCTCACAACAATGTGAAGATATTTCTCCACTGTAAACTTAAAAATGGTCAATATAGTAAATTTGATGTGTTTCTTTCGTGCTGGCAGTCAAACCTAGGGCCCTGAACATGATGTACATGTGTTCTACCATTGAGCTACATCCCCAGCCTTTGGTAGTTTGAGACAGGGCCTCCCAATGTAGGACAAGCTGGCCTCAAACTCGTTCTCCCGCCCCAGCCTCCCAAGTGCTAGGATTATAAGTATCCAACACACATGGTGGTTTATGTGGTTCTTTTTCACCACAATAAAAATAATATATGAAAGCCAGTAGTGGTGGTGCATGCCTTTAGTCCCAGTATTCAGGAGGCAGAAGCAGGAGGATTTTGTAAGTTCAAGGTCATCCTGGTCTACATAGCAAGTTCCAGGGCAGCCAGGGCTACACAGAGAAACCCTATCTCTAAAGACAACAACAAAATGTTTTGGAGCCAAAAAAAAAAAAAAAAGTCATTCTAGAGTTACTCATCACTTGATAGAATGAGTTGGGTTTGTTTAATAAAGGTTGTTCAATCTTTCCTCACTTGCCTTTTAGGTATTGGCCAGGTATCCAAGTCAGTGAAAGGAATGGCATCATTGCCCTGTGGTTATAAGTTTTCTCCTAAAGAACTGACGGAGCTCCGAGTCTACTGGCAAAAAGATGACAAAGCAGTGCTAAGTTACACCTCTGGGAAGACAGAAGTGTGGGCCCCGTATAAGAACCGGACTGTACTTGACATCCCTAGCAACTTCTCTCTTATGATCGGGTCCCTGGTCCTGTCGGACAGGGGCATATATACCTGTGTCATTCAAAGGTCTGAAGGAGGAGCTTACAAAAAGAGACACTTGGATTCTGTGATGCTGTTTATCAGAGGTTGGTAGGATTCTCTGATTTACTGATTTGTAATGTCCTTAAAGGCACATGTCTATTGATGTAGGTGACAATTTTGTCAAAGAAGGATGTGTCTCATTTCATATCTGAGGAGTGAGTTTCCAGTTTTACCGAAAATCTAACTGATTGTTCAAGGTGGGAAAGAAAATCTATCAATGTACTTTTCTACTTGTATAACAGAAGGTCACAGGAATCATGCCAGGCACTATAGTGGCCTGAAATGCCTTCTGAGTTGTAGGAACATGACTTTGATGCGAACTGCACCTGAGAAATATCTATTCTGGGTAACAAGCTAATTAGGTCACGGACTTTTAACCTTTCTGAGTAATTTGCACCCCTGCCTTTTTTCATAAGATATCCTTACCCAGCCCCAGTAAGAGTGGCCAAAACTTGTGGTAACTGAGTCACATAAGATAAAAAGGACAGTCAGAAGAGCGTGTTGGATCCCCGGGAACTAGAGTTGTACACAGTTGTGAATCGCCCAATGTGAGTGCTGGTAACTGAACTTGGGTGTTCTGCAAGAGTAAGTTAAGAGTTCATACTTGGAACTGCTGAGCCACCTCTCCAGCCCCAAAGGGCTAATCTTTAGATGGCTCAGAGTCTGGCAAGAGCTTCAGAGTAGTTATTCTAAACAGATGATCTTGTAGAAGGGCTAGGACACAAAGCTGAGGCTGTTATAAGCTCAGTCAGACATGGAAAAGATGGCTCTTACTGAGATAACTGTTTCTCAGTTTATGTTGATTGAGTGCTGTAAGCTAGCAAGCAGAAAATAAAAATGCAAACTATAATAGCTCAGGGACACATCAAACTGTTGGTTTTTTTTTTCTTGGTTTTATTTTTGGTTTTTGAGTTCTACTATGTAGCTTTGGCTGGACTGGAGGCTATACCCTCAAACTCAAAGAGATTCACCACCAATTTATTATTATTATTATTGTTGTTGTTGTTGTTGTTGTTGTTGTTGTTTTGGTTTAAAGTGACTTCAAAATTTAGGGTTTTCCCTTTCCTGGTCACCTGTCAGTATTTGCCCTTCTCCCATTTCTCCCAATGCCACTCTGCCACGTTAGAAGCGTTCCTTGACAACCTGTTTTAAATGAGAGCATCTACCTAAATATGTCCTGTGTTTCAGGCTCCGTGCTAAGTGATTTTAGTAATGGTGTCATTTCAGCCCTTCAGCCCTGGAAGCACGAAATTATTAACCCATCTTACTGATGAGCAAATCAAGACTAAAAGCCAATTAACTGGCCCACACACAGTCACAAGACAAACCCCAGCTGAAGAACTGCTCTTGGGGACCACTGACCTCTGCTCATGTGAGCTTCTATAGCACCCAGCCTTCTAAGAAGAAAGCTCAGCCTATGGACTGAAGTGGGGGGACTGAGTCCCACATGATAGGGGAGGAGTTCAATCTCTGATGTCTGAGTGAGCGAGCAAGTGGCTAGAAGATGTTTCCACACTTGGCTCTGAGTCTACTTCAGTGTCTTTCTTACTGGAGGTCAAATATGCAAATGATGTCAACTCCAGGGGACCTCTTTGTCCCTTAAAATGTTAGAGTAGCAAGGAATCAATAAAACGTCATGGCTGAGATTACAGACTTAATATTGTACATAGTTTTATCTGAGTACAAGTCTTTTTTTTTTTTTTTTAATGAGAAAGGTCTTACTCTTAGCCCAGGCTGGATCAGAACTCACTGTATAGCCCAGGCTGGCCTCAAACTCCTTCTACCTCAGCCTCCAAAGTACACCTGACTTACAGGTGTGCCCCACCATGCTCAGCTGAATATACTTTTTAAGAAGCAAGGCGTGTTGAACATGGACTTGGGGTGGTGGCTACTGAGTGCTGGGAATTAGAGGTCCAGCAGGGGCAAGATCAGAGAAGCTCCTGTTTCCTAGTTCTCGGGTTCGAGGGTGGCTTCACTCGTGTTCCTTACTAAATAAGCAGATAGAAGGAGCCACTTGTGTGCCTACAATATTAGGGCGGGAGGACAAGATGAGATAAACGGATATATAGCAAGCCACAGCTTCTGGTGTTGAGAAATGTAATTGTGGGTCTCAGTTCTGCTACAGGGTTGTGAGTCCCCCCAACTAGTTTATTTAGAAAATAAAATTGCAAACATCAATCACATCAAAGTTAGTGCTATTGAACATTTTATTTATTTTGTTTGCTGTTGTTGTTTTTTGTTTGTTTTTTTGTTTTGAGACAGGGTCTCTCTATGTAGCCTCGGTTGGCCTGGAACTCCCTCTGTAGGGCAAGCTGGCCTCAAACTCATAAAAACACACCTGCCTTTGCCTCCCCAGGGCTGGGATTAAAGGTGCCACCCTGGCTAGCTATTTTTATTTTTTTTAGGAGACAGGGTGTCACTATATTTTTCAGGCTGGCCCCAAATTTGTGGAATTCAAGCAACACTTCTGCCTCAGCCTGGGACTGCAGACATGGACTACCCACTTCACTTGGTCCATAACCCGTTTAAATCTACGTCCAGATCTCCTAAGGTTGTCATAAAGAGAAGGATTTCCAGAGGGTTTTTTCCCCATTATTTATTTATCTATCTATCTATCTATCTATCTATCTATCTATCTATCTATCTATTATCAGCTTGATACAGAACAAATTCTTGTCCTAATAGTGAAATGTTTCACTGAGGCTTGCCCAGTGATGGAGTAAAACAGAGTTAACTAACAGGAACTCAATAAACATTCAGTTGTCTCTGCCGGGCGGTGGTGGTGCACGCCTTTCATCCCAGCACTCGGAAGGCAGAGCCAGGAGGATCTCTGTGAGTTCGAGGCCAGCCTGGGCTACAGAGTGAGTTCCAGGAAAGGCACAAAGCTACACAGAGAAACTCTGTCTCAAAACAAACAAACAAACAAACAAACAAACAAACAAACAAACAAACATTCAGTTGTCTCTTCCTCTCTTCAAATAGCGAGCAGTACGTCAACATTAATCCCCACGAACCTATTTCTTTCTCCAAGTGTGTTCCTACTTCCTTCAAGGTGAGAGACAACTGACACAACCAGTTCAAACTAGCTGATTTACTAACACCTTATGGAGACCTGCAAATTCGACCTTATTTGTCATTCTTATTGATTCCTGATAACTTATTTAAAATACACCTATGCACCTAGCTCTGTACCTGTGTATAACTGTATGCTCATCCTATCTCTAGCTCACTACCCGGTCCCTAATATAACTGACCTTGGAAATCTATCTGCGGACATTAAAAGGATTATGTGCTCAACCTCTGGAGGTTTCCCAGAGCCTCGCCTCTTCTGGTTGGAAAATGGAAAAGAGCTAAGTGGCATCAATACAACAATTTCTCAAGATCCTGGATCTGAGCTGTACACTGTCAGTAGCAAACTGGATTTCAATATGACCTACAACCACAGCATTGTGTGTCGCGTTGTGTATGGAGACTCTCAAGTGTCGAAGAACTTCACCTGGGAAAAACAACGTAAGCAACATTACACTGACAAGTGTCTACTCTATAGTATCCAAAAGAATAACCCAGCTACCTACATTTTAGAATCGAACTTACTGACTCTGATGGTAATTTGAGTCATGTCAGACATACAAGATGTTGTTGTAGAATATTATTTTAAGATGTGTTGCATTTGTTTATGGTGTGGAACATTTGTTTTAATGATGCAAATATGTGTTGCATTCTTTCATGTTGCATTTGTTTATCTCTGTGAGGCTGTGTTACTTTGCCTGTCTAAAACACCTCATGGTCTAATAAAGAGCTGAACGGCCAATAGGAGGCAGGAGACAGGATAGGAGGAGCTGGCAGGCAGAGAGAGTAAATAAAAGTAGAAATCTGGGAGGAAGAAGAAGAAAAGAGCAAGAGAAGAAGGAGAAGAGGACATTGGGGCCAGCCACACAGTCACACAGCCAGCCATGGAGTAAGAGTGAAAGTAGGATACACAGAAGTAAGAAAAGGTAAAAGCCCAGAGGCAAAAGGTAGATGGGATAATCTAAGTTAAGAAAAGCTGGCAAGAAACAAGCCAAGCTAAGGCCAGGCATTTATAATTAGGAATAAGCCTCCATGAATGATTTATTTGGGAGCTGGGTGGCAGGCCCCCAAAAGACTAAAGCCCAAAGAGTAAAGAGTAAAGAAAATTCAGCAACAGGATGTGTCATTATGACTTACTGACATCACTAAACAAGTATAATGGTGATAATACTAGACTAATTTTATTTTCTTTTAGTAAATGTTCTAAATTTTATAGGTCTAATAACTGCTGACCATCAGGTAGTCATTTTGAAGTTTATGTACTGTCTTTTTGAAAAGCACTAAATTTTGTCCTTCTTTGTAATTTCTCGACTTTGGCATTTTCCTTTAGGATATCCAATCCCAATGGTCCCATGGTATCAAACTATTGTCTTTTCTTGGAACAGATTTTTGTTTTTAGGACTACTCATTCACTCTGGGTGTGGGGTCAGAGCACTGAGCTCCCAAAGTCCTGACTCAGCAGTTAAGAGCATGGGCTGTTCTTCATGTCCAGCACCCACATAGTGGCTAACAATCATCTGTAACTCCAGTCCCAGAGGAATCTGATGCCCCCTTTTGGCCTATTGTGTACAGACATACATGCAGGCAAAACATCCATACATGTAAAATTAAAATTAAAGAAATCTTTAAAAAGAAAGCACAATGAATTTACTTTTCATCAGCTGGATTCCAGCCATGTAGTCAGCAGCTGGATCTATAACACATCTGGAATCCAGAAATAAGATAAGAAATGTAATATTTAAACTCAGAAATTAGATGGCATTTCAAGCTTTGATGTGGATGAGATTATGCAGGCAGACCAGGGTCACACACAGACACCATGGGAACAATGAAATTTAGAAGCTAAGAGGAAGAAGTGTCTGCCAAGAAAGATGAGTGTTACAAGTATAAACAGAGGAGTGTGCGATCTGAGAAGCCAAGGACAAGGTGGTCTACTGGGCCAAATGCTAAAATAAGCTCAAAGCTAAACTTCATCCATGAGGCTTGGTAACGGAGAAAATTAAGAATGAGGTAGTGTTTAATATTTGCTTATAAGCCAATCCAGAGAAACCAGAGAGGTTGTGTTGCTAATAATCCCTTCAGATTGTGTCCTTGTTCTTTCTTCAGATGTTGCTATTTCTCAAAGAGATTGAGAAATAAGTGGTCTAGCTGCTACCTCCATGAGGAGGACTGGAGGGCAGCAACACACACACACACACACACACACACACACACACACACACACACACACACACACACATCTCTCCTCTTTCCCCACCAGTCTTTGTATCCCTCCTGTGGTCCCTGGGAGACTAGAACTTCATCAGAAGCTAGCCCACAAAGTTGTCTTTCAGGACAGTGCCCTAATGCCAATTCATAGCCATTGTTAGTTCTTTTAGTCTCCCCAAAACTTAAGGTTGGAGGGCAAAAAATAAATCTTGAAGAGAATGTGAGGCGCCTCCTGAATCTTATGGCAGCCACTGTGTGGAGTATAACAGTGGAGATGAAGGATGTGGCGAGAACATGCAAGAGAAAGACAGAAGAGCTAGAGGAGAAAAAAGTAGGTATATCTAGCTAGATTATGACATCCCTAGTAAGACTTAGTCAAAAGAGCTACAGAAATGAGCTACAAAGATAATAGCTTTTAAGGTATCTCCTTAGAATCTCTCTTCATGCCAAGTTAGCTCAGTCAATGAAAACATTCAAGTTGCTTTTTTCACATTCAGTAGCTATCATTTGAATGTTAGCTGCCCCCAGGATATTTTTGGTAGGATTGTTTATGAGAGTGCTGGCAGCTGCGTGTCTGTGAGATGATCTGCAGAGTCAAGGGTTCTCCACAGGTGCACAGTGAAGAGGCACAGGACGGGAACCCGAGAGTAGGCTGCACATTACAACTGATGCTTATTCTTTTCTCTCCACAGCCCCAGAAGCCCCTCCTGATAGAAATTACCTAACTGAGGTGACCCCGACAATTTTGACAATACTCTGTTTGGCCTCAGCAATAATAATAATCATTGTGTACAGCAGTAAGTACTTCCTTATCATGATTAATTCCTGGAAGCCTAGACTCCATTAGTGCATCTCAGTACCTCTCTGGCATTCCAGGCTAGTCTTTGATCATATTTTGTAGCAAATTGATGGGACTTTAGATTTCAATTATTTTTCTCACCAAATTCTGTCCATTCATCATTAAAAAAAAATCCTGGATCCCTACTGTATGTCTAGTATTCTCCCAGGCATTCAAATTCCAAAGACAAGAAGTCACTTAGATCCGATCTGGAAGCTGACTGTAGTGGCACACATCTATAAACTCTGCACTCATGAGACTGAGATGGGAGCCAGAAAGCTAGAAACTGGACTGGGCTACACAAAAACTTTGAGGCCATAGTAAGGTCCTGTCTTAAAAGAGATGAGTGCATTTTAGTTCAAGGCTGTCAATTTCCCATAACTTTTGATTTCTTTTGGAGACACCAATGCTTTCAGACTACTTTGAAAGCATCTCTAATGCTGACTGACACTCTAATCCTTGGATTTGGAGGAAAAGAAAAATGACAAGCTTTAGAGGTAGAGCCTTTCTTGGAGAGAGGTCACTAAGACTTGAGAAGCTAGATGCCATAAGTGGTTTTTACCAACCCTCAATTCTTCAAAATATTTTTGTATCAAAGAGGCTGTAGTTGCTTAGAAGAGATGTCTAGGACACTATATGTTTTAAATTGGGGGCCTTAGACACGGTCTACCCTCAGTCTCAGTGGTTGACTAGAGAGGGCTTTCTGTTTCAGATCTACAGCCATAATACCCAGAAGGTATCAGCTAGACTAGGACTCACATCCACTGAGCAAATAAAATTAGAAGACCAACATCTGCTGACTTTATAACCTTCAATACACATAAACAAAAAAAGTTCAAAGCTCAGATAGCAGTCACCAGATACTATGCTATGAGAAGCTCACCTTAGGGGTAGGATACAAAAGCTTCGTGGGCTTATAGTGTTTCTAATACAAATTAGGTAATCTTGCTCTTCAGTTCAGAGTCTGTCATCCTCACCTCTACTAGTATTGGCATTTTGGGCCAAATAATACTTTGTTACAGTGGTATTCTACTATATATAAAATGTTTACAAGAGGAAGCTTCCTCATCTTTCAAAAAAAAAAAACAATAACAACAAAATGTCTTTCAGGAATTACCAACTGTCCCTGGAGATTGGGGGGAGGTATTGGAAACTCTCCCGGTTTAAAAATCATAGTCTAGTTGTAAGATTGTGGGAAGGCTTACTGAAATATACAGGCATGATTTATGAGATCCTCATTTGTTGTTATAATTTATGCTTATCTTCAAGTGTGTTTCAGAAGAAGGAATGAGGCAAGAAGAAGAGAAATCAATGGGATTTACCTAGGGCCTGTAGAAGCATCAGCTGAACAGAATGTCTGAAGGTACCCATCTTCCTTCCTTTTAGCTCTTCTCTACCCGTGTGGTATACATGGTATTATGTGGATTGTGAGAATCTTCCTTTCAGCACTGTGCTAGTTAACCTTTTGGACAACTGGACACAAGAGAGAGTTTTTTGGGGAAGAGAAAACATTAAATGAGGATTTCTCTCCATCAGGTTGCCTGTGAGCAAGTGTGTTGGGCATTTTCTTGATTGATGGTTGATGTGGGAGGGTCCAGACCACTATGGGTGGTGCCATCCCTGAGCAGGTGATCCTGAGTGGTATAGGAAAGGGGGATGAGCAAATGATGGGGAGCAAGCCCGTAAGTAGCATTCTTTCGTGGCCTTTGCATCAATTCCTGCTCTGTTTCCTGCTTCAGTTTCTACTCTGATTTACCTTGATGATGGGGACTATAACCTACAAGATAAAGTAAACCCTTTCCTATCGAAAGTTGCTTTAGTTTAGTGTTTTATCACAGTAACAGAAACCTAACTCGGACATAAAGTGGTACCAGGAGTGGGGTGTTGTACTCACAGACCTGACCGTGTTGTTTTGGGGAGGATTGTGAATGTGCTTTGAACTCTGGAAAAGTCATTGATGCTGAATGTTCAATGCTTAATGGAATGCTCTGTAGAGCTTGGAAAATAAGAGTGTTGAGATAAATGCAAATGATAAATGTCTAGCTTGTGAAGTTTCACAGGGAAGTTTGAGAGTATCTCATACATTCTATCAGGATTTTTATGTATGGTATATTTGTGTTAAGAATATGTGGTCTTGAGAATCAAGACAGTGCTGGTGGCCACTGGGGCCTGAGCATAATGCTCTGGGCTCTCAGTGATGGCTACAGCAGTTGTAGGCTCGGCTAGGGACTCTATCTCTCCTCCAGCCTGGTGAGGCAGGACCAAGAGAGGACCACCTTGAAAAGAGGAGGCTGTGAGAAACAGCAAGAGTGGCACTTGCCCCTGGCAGGCACCATGACTGGAACCATCAAGAAACAGATCCTGGATTCCAGGAAGCACCTAGACAACACAGAGACCTGGCCCAGGTTCCCAAAGGGCCTGGGAGCCCTGGAAAGCACCAAGACAACACCATGGCCTGATGCCCAGCTGGGTGTGGTGGGAAGTGAGTGAGTAGATGGTGGAGTAATGGGAGAGAAAGAAGAGAGCATGTAGGTTGTGGAAAATGTTGTTCCCTGGGAAAAAGTGAATTACACCGCCCATAATACAACCAGTTACAAACACAGGTGAGAGTGGGCCTATGCCTTTTTCCTTTGAGAAAACCAACCACTGTATGAGTCGCTGTGACTCCCAGAGCTGCATCCTCGCCCAGGAAGAAGGGCATCACCTGCAGAATGGAGACCCACAACTGACTGGACATGTCCGCTGTGTTCACTTCTCGTCATTAGCCTATCTGCTCATCTCTACGGTTGTGGTGGCGGTTCAACCTTGAGACTGGACGACTGTATGTTGAATTACAGTTTTACCATGTTGCATCTAACTTTGGCCACAGATTTATTTCCTTTGGAAGCTCTGGGGTGGGCAAACACTTGAAGACACCCAGAGGCCCCGCCCACCATGCAGAGTGGGCACGAAGGAGACACCAGAGATCCTGCCCAATGTGTGGCCCATGAGCCATTACAGTGTGCAAGTATGGGCTGGAGAGATGGGAGAGAAAGAGAAGTGGAACAGCGTGGGCACTATGAAAAAAGACAGGTCTGGAGATGCAAAGGTGGAGAGGAACAGCCTGATGTGAGTAGCCTGTGAAGCCACCTGAGGCCATGGGGAAGTCTTGGCCCATGCTGCCACTGAGGGCCATGTTTGGGTCTGTAGCCATGCAGCATCAGGTGTCTGTGTCAATGTCCATGGCCCATATCACCACCAAAAGTCACATGGTTGTCCCTGATTTGCACTGCCGTCTGGGATCATGCTGATATCTGAGGGCTGCACAGAGGTGGCCCCACCCTTCACTGGCTGCAATGCTAGGGAGAGCTGGCTCTGCCCCTCAACTGCCATGCTGTGGCGTGGGTGAGGGAACGATGCCCTCCTCCCCCCTTGTGACCTTTGGCAGGTGGGAGAGCTGGCCATGCCCCTTACCAGCTGCAGCACTCAGGACAGTGTGCCCTGCACCTCACCTGGGCAGCACAGTAGAGCTGGCCCTGGTGGTATGGGAGCCAGCCCTGAGAGGGTGAGAAAAGGAGAATTGACCCCAGCCCTTGCTGCCTGTGGCATTGGGTAAGCTAGATGGGGCAGTGCTGGAAAGCTCACCCCAGTAATGAGGTTTCAGGAGAGTTGGTGGGCTGACCAAACTCAGCCACCACCCAGGCCCAGATCCATGGCTATGAGTTGGCTCACCCCATCAGTGAACTTCTGGGGCATATTAAGGAGCTGGCCCTACAGATCCAAAGCTGCAGGGTCTCCATGACACAGGGCAACAACAGGCTATCCAAGAGGAGTCCTAGTGAGGATCCAATGTAGCAGAAGCCAGAGGCCTCAAACCAAACCATTGACCCATTGCAGTGAACATTTGCAAGTAAAGATAATATGGACCAAAGTGTATACTGTGTGGCTCACTGTGAGACAGTACAGGTTCCACAGTGAAATTGTTTTTGTCTTTTTTAATTATTTTATTTAGGGGGGTTGTAAGGACAGAGGGTAGATATAAAGGGACAGGGAGATGAGTGGAATTGGGGTGCATGCTGTGAAATCCACAAAGAATCAATAAAAAGTTAAAAAAAAAAAAGAATATGTGGTCTCTGGACTGCTGGAGCCTACAAATCAGCTGTGATTAACAAGAGATCTGCACCACTAAAGTGGAGCCTTTGCTTTACTGGGACTGGATGGTTAGCACTGCATGGATGCTGGTTAGCTGGGGCTGAGAAGTCAGCTGTGATTGAGAGGTCAGCATCACTGAGGTGAAATCTGGGAAGTATTTCTTCCTTGAGCTCAGTGCACAGATGCTGTGGTCCATGGGAGGCAAGACTGCATCTCGAGTGGATAGCAGAACTTGGTAATATCTAAGAGGCTCACATATGGGACTGGTTTTGAAAACATGAAGAAGTCACAGAGAGCAGCTGAGGCTTGGCACTGTCAGAGGCCACCTGCGAAAGTGAAGGTTCAGTTGCAGTGATGACCTTAGGATACTGGAGACACCAGCCCGGTGGAATGTCAATCAAAGACAGCAGCAGGTGTAGAGGGGACTGGCCCGAGTCTACCACGCAAACTCCATTTGCTGCAGAGAGCAGAGCCAGAGAATAGAGTTGCCCAAGCCCTTTTGGAGCCCAGAAAAATCATGAAGGAGTCCAGGACACTGAACACTGAGCATTCTTACTGTTAAACTTTGATTTTGCTTTGATCTGACTATAATTGTGCTCTGGATCACCGATTGGAATAAAGTATCTTAGTTTTGTTTTTGTTTTTAGTTACTTAATTTTTTTTGAGATTATAATTACATCATTTCTCTCTTCTGTTTCCTCCCTAAGAGTCCTCCCACTTATCCCTCCTTGCTCTCTTTCAAATATATCCTGGTGTCACTTGTACAGGAACCCACAGTTGAGAGATTAGACTTTCAAAGTGATGTTGAATTTTTTTTTTAAAGATTTATTTATTCATTATGTATACAGAAGAGGGCGCCAGATCTCATTACAGATGGTTGTGAGCCACCATGTGGTTGCTGGGAATTGAACTCAGGACCTCTGAAATAACAGTCAGTGCTCTTAACCTCTGAGCTATCTCTCCAGCCCCTAAATTTTTTTAAAAAAGGAAAATGTTATGAGCTACAGGAAGGTAGTAAGAATTCAGCTGTATATAATAA